AGACAATAAATATGCTTGTCACAGAAGAGGGAAGACCCTTCTGGTATGGCTTTAAGTAGTTAGACGAGCAGTCTATTATTAACTAGAATAGTGTGGCAGGTTGCACTTAGGTGCTATTAGAGTGGCTGAGTAATGCTAGACTTAAATGTTGGGAAATTCTATGTAATTGTATATGTATATAGTTTCAAGAATGTTAATAAAGTACTAGCGTAACTGCTTAAGGTTTAAAAAAAAAAAAAAAATAAAATAATAATAATAATAAATTGTTCTATAACACTATATATAGAATGTTATTTACTAATGCTAATCGTAATTTGATTTATGAATATGTACTAAGATATGTGCTAATCATTTGAGAATATTAATTATTTTGTCTAACCAAATATATATGTTTATTTCATGCCAAATTCCTAGTTATGAGAGAGTGCGTGCTATGCTGAATTTTTAGTTGTGAAGCAATTGCACACTATGCTGAATATGAATAATTCAAAAAATTCAGCCAAAATGATTATTAATAAATTAGATGTATTATAAACTTTGCAAATTATTTGTTATTTATATTGATATTTAAATATTGTATATACTTTTCATTAATTAACCTAATTTTTGGTCTTACTTTATTATTGTTATTGTTTACTTGATTTAGGGTTCATAATTATAGGATTTTGCAGTAAAAAAAGCAATCTACTTAATTCAACAATTGATTTAGAGCACAATAATTCCAGGATGTTGCAGTAAAAAAAAAATCTAATTCAACAATTGATTTATTATGTGATTAGAATGATAATTAAATTATATGATTTTATCACATAGAACGAATTGAAAAATTAATTATAAATAGTAATTTAGATATCATACGATTCTTTAAATTATATAAATTTTGTAAGAGATAATATGGTCAATTGTTTTTGTATTATAAATTTTGCTACAAAATTGTCTGATTTTAATCTTGTAAAATGAGCTTAAAATTTAAAATAACCTGCGTAAATATTGAATATTATAAAATTTATCCTTAACAGATAATTAAATGATTGTAATAATTGTGTTCATATTATGCTTGTCTTTGTAAATTATAATTATGATTAAATGTTTTTTGTTTAGACTATTGTACTATGTATTGTTCTTGTATAATAAAATCTTTGATAATGATTTACTTGCAAAATCCTTGCGAACAATCAAATGTTGTAAATCTTTGTTTGGTGATAAGCAATATTAGATTATCATAAAAAAGAAAGAATATAATATGAAAAATTCAAGCTTTATTTTTCTATATAAAAATGCACTTTTTATAAGTGCAGGTTGATTTCTTCATCATAATAAAATTACAATCGTATTTAAGACCTAAGATAGTTTTTCACGTTTCACTTCTTGTTGTTATAATCTCTGTAAAAAATAGCTGCTTGTGCTTAAATGGACTTGCTAAATACAAGCTTACCAAAGAAATAACCCAAACAATCAGATTCAAATACTTCTTTCCTGCTGATCAACTGTCACAAATATTTGTGAACGAAGATCTGGTTTTTATTTCAAATAAATTTATTGTTAAGAATTCCAAACCATGTTTTATCATCTATAGCAAGTATTGTTGATAATGAAAACTCCAACTGCAAATTTGACTTGAGTAATGTTTCTGTAACTATTCCTTATAGCATATACTTTGTGACTGTCACCTGTTAGCCGAAGAATGTTGGAGATTTTATTCATTTTGGTGCAGAAAAATTCAATATAATTCTGTTACTGGTAACTCTGATATTAAGATAGACATGACAATTATTTACTTGCTAAATTCATTCAGATTTAAATATTTAGGTAATTTAGATTCTAATGTTAAATTATGTTCCAATTATTTTATATTGAGTCTTTTTAAATTTTCTAAGTCTTGCAAGATAATGATTGAGAACACTGATATCGATTATCTAAGAACCTCGTCTATTAATATGGTCGGGTCTAAAAGTTCTCATTCTACAATATTGGATGCATCATCAATAATCGATATTATTGTTGATAATATTTATTCTACCATAACAAAAGCACCCTAAGATCAATATTATTTGTTAAGGAAATCCATAAATTCTATTAATGCCAACATTAAAGCTATCCTATCCTGTAATAATAAAGAATATCATACTACTAATGCCAACATTAAAGCTGGTCCATCCTATAATAATAAAAAATATGATACTACTATTGAAGATTATCAAAGTAATGAGAAGCAATCTAATCATGAAAATGGTAATGAAAGTGATAATGAAAATGCTACGTATTTAGCTTGTGACAAAGAATTTCAAGACATCGAAGAACTAGAAGAATCACAACCTAGAAAAAGAAAAAAAGCACCTAGAAATTCAACTAAAGGAAAAAGAAAAAAATATTAAAAAATTTTCATAATAATGAATACAATAGATATCAGATATAGTAATTTGTTTATTAAGTTGTATATTTTTTTTCGAATTAATCTTGTTGTGATATATGAGAATGTTATGTTTGCTTGATTAATTCAACTTATTTTTTATTATATTATCTATCTTGTTTATGATACTGATAACTGATCACAAAATCAATATGCTGTCTCTATAATAAGCAATTTGTGAATTTTTATAAAAATAAATGCACTTAGTTAATTCTTGATTGAAATAAAATTATAATTGGAAATAGGAAAATCTGCTTATAGTACTTTCTAAAAAATAATTTATTAAAGCTTTCATCCTTTTACATATTCTAAGTTATTACATATATATGCAACTATTAACTTTGAATTTTTGTATTTTTAGATATGAAAATAGGACCAATTGTGCTTCCTATTATACAAATTCACTTGCTTTGATTTCCTGAAAGTCTATTAAATGATATTCTTTTGATCATGTTACAATTATAAATAATAAGATCCTTCATATAAATGTCAGTCTCTCTTGATTATTTACTTTTAATCATTATCTCTAAATTATGTAAATCGTAAATAAAATCAAATAGCTTATTTTAAATTTTTAATTGCTAAATATTCTATATGTGAAATAATAAATTTAGATAGTAAGCATTAGTGTAATTGGTTAGTTTATTTTTAATAATACTACCCATTCTTCTCAGAAAATCCCAACTGAACCAAAGATATGTTCGACTAAAGTTCAACTATACTAAATTAATTTAAATTAGAATTAGTAGACACCTATTAATAGCATGCATCTAGAACTCTACCAAAATAATAATAGTGAATTTAATTAAATATTGTTTATTTATTGATATTAATTATTTAATGCCTGAACCAAACTTGGTAAAGTAGATTGTAAATAGATAAGTTAAAAACAAGTATTTTACTGTAATTTTCCTGTTTAATATAATTGTATAATTTACTAAATATGGTCTAAAAATGGCTGTACTTCAGATGTTCCAGATAGTTCCTTAAAGGTTTTGACAATATTGAGCAAGAAAATATGAAAAAATTATTACTGGTTAATGATGTTTCATTCGATCAGATAGAAATCTATTGCGGCATAAGTTTTCTTAAATCATTATCTGCTATAAAGTATAAAAAGATTGTGTTTTGTGTTAAAAAAAAAGAAGAGAAAAGGTATTCGTTTTTCTAATCATAGATTAGATATTAAATAAATATCTCATTCATTGATACAAAACTCTCTTATATCCACGAACTTTGATTTCATTCTTTATCATATACATTTTTATATTATTTTAAATACACCATAATTAACATAGAAACCAAAGGTAAAGAAAGGAAGAGAAAAAATCTTGAACAGATGGTTTTTCGATGTAAAAATCTTCAATTGCGAAGGTTACATAATGATAATCAAAATGCTATACTGAAGAAAAAGAGAATTGAATCTCGATATATGAAAGATTGTCTTACCAATAGTTTAAGCATCCCTTTACATATTATAGATATAGATATCGAATTTGAAAAGCTTAATCAACACCACATTGCATGGCCTTAACTTACTAGAAAAGAAATAGCTAAAGAAGCATTGGCTGAATTTCAAGATATGGTTGATCTTAATGAATTGCATAAGTTACTGTGCACAGTTTGCTTAGGAATTTATAATAACAAAGATTATAAAAAAATTTCAGCGCGAACAATTATTTTTTTTTTGATTAAAGCACTACTTGAACTTACTGATCCATTGTTTGAAATCGATTTTGACTATAACCACCCTTACATTACTACTAATTATCTAAACATTCTCCTCAATCGCTCTGGGTTTATATACTCACCTAAACATCTTAATGATTCTGATAATTCTTATAACCCCTTTTAGTTATGAATTTGCTATTTTTGTGATAATTATTTACAAAAATGTATGACTTTACCATTATTATTAGCCAATGACATGTGGATTGGTTCCACTCCAGCATGTCTTCAAGACCTATCAATACCAGAACAACTTTTCATCTCGCCTGAGTATCCATGTATAAATCTTATACAGATTACGAAAAGAAAACATACTTACTATAAGCTTAGAGAACACATTATGACATTGCCTCAAAATCCAAGTTCTTTAATTAATGTACTGCTCTTACTGATATATAAGCTTTGTGAATATATAAAAGTAGTTTTTGTGGAAAAAGGAACTCCTACTTAGCACTAGCTCAAAAAAGTGCTCCAAGTTCAAAAAAGCAAGATAACAATTGCTCTTAAGTGGCTTTTTGACCACAATAAATTATTTAAAAGTAAAATTAAACTTGATAAAAATATTTTAAATAATCTACCCAAAGGAGAAATTCCTAAAGACTTAACTGTAATAACTATAGTTATAGATATTGATTCTCATGAAACAGAGCATTATACTAACTACACTTGTGATCAGCAAGAATCTAATAGCAAAAGTGATGATGATGAAATTGAAGAAATGTCTAATATTAATAAATATAATTTAAAAGACTTTATAAGTAATAATTCAATTAATAGTACAAATGAACTCAGACCTTCTGAGATAATAAATGTTGATGACATACCTATTATCAGAAAAGAGCTTACATTGCTCTCTTTTAAAAAGCTTGTTGATAACCTGGATTATAATACTTATGAGCAATTATCTTCAAATAAGAACATGCCTAAATTAAAAGATAAAGCGATACAATCACATATATTAAATGTACCCCATGGCAATAAATCTCTAAATGAATATGAAGACTTAACTCTCTTTCTTGCAGGTTTTCTGGTTCTCTTCCCTTATGGTGTTAGTGATGACGAAAGTCGATTATCTCGAGTCTCATTGAAAAAATATACTAATCACCTCATGTGACATAGGGACCCAAAGTTTAAACAATACAAGTCGTTTCTCTTTGTTATTTTTAACATTTTACAGTGGCGAGAAGTATCAACAAAATCTTATAACCTAACAAAAAATATTAATTTCAATCGATCAGCAAATCTAATATTATCTTTAAAACCTGAAGATATTGATTTTGCTATTAAACAAGTTAAGATAATCAATCGATTAGTAATCCTGCTGTTAATGAATTGCTCAAGAACATCAAATCTGCAGGTTCAAAATTAATAGCATCTCACCAATCACGTTTATGCATGTGCAATGAAATACGTGCTGTTATTATGTGAGATAGTACACTTTCATTATTTATAACTATAAATCCTGCTAATCTTTATAGCTCTTTTGTTATGATATATGCTAGAAAAGAAATAGATCTTCAAAATCTCTTTCCAGGAAACTTTCCAAAAGCTTCAGAAAGAGCTCAGCTCATTCACCTTAACCCTATAGCTGTTGCTAAATACTTTCATGTTATAATCCAAGCAATTATAGATACCTTAATTGGATATAAAAGAAAAAATAATGGTATATTCAGCTCTATAAAAAATTACTATGGCATAGTTGAATATCAAGATCATGGTACACTGCATTGTTACATGCTTGTTTGGCTTCATTGAGCTCACAATCCTTTATTATTATGCCAGAAACTTAAAACCAATAATGAAATTTGCAAGCATCTCCTAAATTATGTCAGTGATATTGTTCGTGAAGACGTAATTATCTCCTAAAGGATGAAAACATTAACAATGTCACAATTAAACCCGAATACGAGGCCCATAAAACAATGCTTGAAAAGCAAATGCATCTATTTTTTCTATCCATATCTGATCCCAAATCATCCAACTTTGAAGAAGAGCTTTATTTAGACCTACTTACTATTTGCAAACATATTTTTTTTCATCATTGCACTTGCTTCTGCAAGAAATATAACCATGGTTTACGTAAACATTGCTGATTTGACTTTTCATAAGAACTTGTAGATCCACCTGGTATGATTTTTTCTGAACAAGGTATAATAGCCATTCAATGTATGAGCACCTTTGTTAACAATCATAACCCTTATATAACAGCTGCATGCAGAGGGAATAATGATATTAAATTTATATCTACTTGGAAACTTGCTCTGGCTTATATTCATTATATTACTGATTACATTACTAAATCAGATATTAGCATATATAGCTTTTTTTTAATATGTGCTTCCATTCTAAAAAACTTTTTAACTTGATTACCTAATAAAATTTTGTATGATTTTGTATTAAAATCTCATAACCTTGTAATGAAATGTCTCAACAAAATGGCCAGACAAATGGAGCTTACAAGCCGACAAGTTTCTGTTTACTTGTTGAATATATGTGATTATTATATCTCAACTAAATTCGCATTAGCCATCTTCAAACTTTTGATTATATTATGAAAGAATATGCTAACTTTTATTAATTTCCAAATAATACTATTGAAACCGATATTGAATTGAATGATGAGTCAGATATGGAAGAACAGGTCAACCACAACTCAACATATGAATCCTTTATCATATCTTCTTATAATGGCACATTAACTGCTATAAACCTCCATGTTGATTATCAGTTTTGGGTAAATCTTTATATAATATTTGCCTCTATGACTATGCATCTGTTATTAAAAAAGTCCAGTTAAATGCCTGTGAGCTTTTTATGCTATCGAACCAGAACAACAAGTCATGAGTAGATCTTTTTTTTTTTTGCAGTAGTAATAATAACAATATTTATGTTCCCAGTAGTATCCATCCCAATATAAATCACATATTCAACTATGCAGACTAACAGGTACTGAGAAAGTAGTTGTGCTGTGTGGTAAAGAACTGTCTAAAAAAGATGATAAGGCAAATGTGGAACATTATGGGTTATGCATTTTTATGTTGTTTAAACTCTGAGAAACTGTTCATAACCTTTATAAAGATTACGATACTTGGGCCAAAGCCTGTCAAGCTTTTCTAAATAGCTCTTCTTTATCTCAGCCCTTAAAATCTGTGATCTATAATATAAAATTATTACATAGATGTTCAGAGACACAAAGCTTGATCGAGAACTACAAAGAAATGCATTAAAGAACCGATTCTTGCAAAAGCTTGCTGTATAGATAGTTGTGTCCCTGGATATGATGCTATTGATGAACTAGAACTTTCTGATAATGATGATAATTTAGCTATAAATAATGCACCTGATAACACAATTCTTTGACTTGATCCTGAAATAGTTATCAGATCTGGCTTAAAAAACAATAGAACTGTTGACTTTGCTATGAACTTTTTATGAATTCATAGTAGATTTTCTATAAAAAATTTTCATTACCAAATAATGATAATATAAACTTTACTGAAAACTTTGAATCTGAAGCTATGTGTTCAAGAGGTCCATATGATAGTGATATGTTAAAGATTTGGCAGAATACAATCCCCTCTCAAAAGACTACTCCACAAGATGATATTAACCCTATTCTTGAAAAAGATATTAACCTAATGCTTGCTCCTATAAATCTTTGTCATAATAATCATGAAAATGCTTACCTAAATATTACTATTACTGAAAATCCAGACCCCTTAGAAAGGTTCATATTGGACTTAAACAATAAACAAAAAATGGCCTATTACTTATTCTGCAAATATCCAAAAAAATAATCAATTATCCAAGAATAAACCTTCTTAATTATTGTTTTATCTTATTAGTGCAGGTGGAACAGGTAAATCTAGAGTTATCTATGCAATATTTCATATTTTGAACACATTTCGCAAAGTAACACTCTGATAGTTTTAGTGCTTACTGGTATTGCAGCAGTAAATATATGTGGAAGTACTATCTATTTTGCATATGGGTTCAGTTTCGATGAAAGTCTAAATACTCATTCTAATTTATCAGAAGAAAGTCTGTGCCAGTTTCAAGAATACTGGTCTACAATAGAGTACACTATCATAGATGAAACTTCCATAATTGGACAAAATCTTCTTTTATGATTTCACACTTTTATAAAAAAAATAAAAGCAAGCAATAATTCTACTCTGTTTGCTAGAATTAACATTTTATTTGCTAGTGATTTTATGCAATTACCACTGGTTTTAGACAAAGCATTATACATGCCTGAAAAAATTACATATTCACCTCCAGTTGAAAATGAACCTTCAAAAGGCACAAAGAGAAAACGTAATGTTAGGACCAATTCTGTAACTCTCTTTGCAGATCACTTGTACCAAAATTTTACTAAAAACATTTAATTATTTCTCAATATTTTATTAAGTAAACCTTACTTGTTCC